TCTCTATCGAATAAATCAACCAATATAAAACACTACACAGATGGGGGAACCTAGCTTCTACAAAGTTTCTTAGTGATAAAACATCTCTCACTCTTCACATAAACACTTAACTGGTATCAAGGAAGAAATAAGGTTAAATGAGAGATTATTTCAAATGACACTGGTAAATGCTGAAAACAAAGTATTCTGTGTTTACACTATGTGAAAATTGAGAATGGAAATGGGGAATATGTCAAAGAGACAACAACCCGAGTAAAGAGCAGAAAACAGCCGAAGGCCGCCAATGGGTCTTTAACACAGCGAAAAAATCCCGCACCCGGAGGCGGGCTTCAGCTGGCCCCTACATAAAATGTGTACTAGTTCAGTGAAAATGGACGTCATACTAAACTCCAAAACATATAAATGAACTAAAATTAAAAAACATACAAGACTAACAAAGGCCAGAGGCTCCTGACTTGGGACAGGCGCAAAAATACAGCGGGGTTAAACATGTTTTGTGAGATCTCAACCCTCCCCCTATACCTCTAGCCAATGTAGAATAAACAAACACACAGCAATACGCACAGTAACACTCAGTTTAAAAGAAGTCCGAGTCCGATGTCAGAATGTATAACAAAAGAAACTAAGCAAAATGACAATGATACATAAATTAACAAAGGACTACTAGCATTTACTGACATGCGAGCTCCAGACTTTAATTTTACTGATTGAAAGATTATGTCTTCATCATATGAAAATCAAGTACAATCCCTCCCGTTAGTTTAGTATCATACCATCATAAAATATATGAGAAGAACATAACCCGTATCATGCCAACAACTGGTTTTAGAACAAATGTGTTTATTTCTGATGCAAAGACCCTATGAGTGAATCAATATTAATACCAAAATATGCCATCTTCAATGACCTGACAACAGTATCGTAATCATATCCCTTCTGAACAAGTCAGTTTAAAGGCCCGGCTGGCCTTTTAGGTGAGTGCCGACATTTTTGTGCTTTGTATAGAATATTACCATAAAAGATGGGGTGTGAAATACCTGAACGTTTAAGATGTCTGCATGTCGATTTATATTTACGAATGATTTCCTTGTACCGATGATAAAATTTAATAAATGTTTTGACTAGTTTGTGATATCGAAAACCCTGGTGTAATAGTTTTTCAGTAATACAGAGATTTCTTTCGTTAAAATGAAATACGTTGTTACATACACGAGCGAATCGAACAAGTTGAGATATATAAACACCATAAGATGGTGACAAGGGAACATCACCTTCTAAAAATGGATAACTAACAATAGGAAATGAAAAATCGTCTCTTTTATCATAATTTTTTTTTAAAGCTTCCCGTTAAAGATAAAGATATCAAGATCCAGGAAAGGACAGTATTCATTGTTAGTATTAGCTTTATTTAAAGTCAGTTCAGCCGGATAAATCTCTTTAGTGTACATACTGAGGTCGTCATTATTGAGAGCCAACATATCATCCAAATATCTAAAAGTGTTATATTTGTATCGGATGTTGTTTCGATGGGTCTTTGCTGATTTTAGTCATACATTGTAACTTATAACAATACAGAAACAGGTCCGCAATAAGTGGTGCACAGTTAGTCCCCATTGAAATTCCGATAACTTGACGATATACGGAATCTCCATAGCGAACAAAAATGTTATCTAGTAAAAATTCAAGGGCAGTTATAGTATCAAAGCAGGTCCAATTGACATATTTCTTTTGTTTGTTGTTACTTAAAAATGACCTAAAAGAGTTTGAACATATATATTCGCATTCTGACTTTTTAAATGCCCATTTAATTAGGTGTGTGATTTTTTTCTTAATAAGGTCATGAGGCAAAGTGGTATATAGGGTAGAAAAATCAAAACTTTGAACAGATTCAAAATCACCAATATAAGCATGCAATTTATCAATTACTTCCAACGAGTTTTTGACACTCCAAAAGTAATTAATTCCACTATTTTCAAAGGCCTTATTTGAAGAATTTATTACCAGGTTTTTGATTGTACCAAGTGTACTTGTAAGTAGAATAGACAGTTTGGTAGTGGAACAATGGCTTTAAGACGAAATAAATCTATATTTGTAAGGTGTTTTGTGCAGCTTCGGAAGCCAGTACATAGTTGGAACTTTCATTGTATTTGGTTCTGCTTGTAAAGAGGCAGCTAAAGCTTATGTTTGTTACAGATGTTATTTTCCGAATATGGAGTCAGTTGGAATGTTGGTGAATTCGTGGTTTCCTTTTGCAGAACCTAAATGTAAAATTTACGTCAAACAATAATGATATTATTAGCAGCCTTATCAGCCGGGACAAAAAAAATTCCTCGACGATTTCTTTTAGCTTATGTTTGATACGAGAAATAGGGCTATTATATTTGTTGTTAGGACTAAAATGTTCTTTAAAATGTTGTATACGTATATCAACTATGTTCATTACCGAATTAAAAAAAGAATCTAAGGATTTCTTGTCAGCTTTTTCGCGTTTTATCCATTTCGAGCAGTAAGTACTGAGTGAGTCGTGGATGATGTTACGACACTCATTCCAATTAATAATTGAAAGGGACGATATTTAGGTCCTTTACTGAGGAATGATTTCAACTCTCGGTCACGAACGATGTTAAGGTTTCCTGTTATAACATGTCTAGTTACTAGTTGTCATTTTCTGATTCAGGTATACATATCTAACAAGTCAGCCAGAGGGTCAATACTCTACTGATTTTGTCTTGAGATTACAGATTTGTCTTTTTACGGTCAGTGGCATACGTATTTACCGGTTTATGTTTAGTTATAATTAATCTGTCCGACGACATTGAAATGCTAAATTTCAATTAACATTTTTCATTTGCTTGCTAGATTTGGTTGCTATACTTAAATGTTCCGTAATTTATTAATATATTTATTTTTAAGTGCACATCTTAAACCTCAAAATAACCACAAAAGAGATAACAACAGAAATTCAGAAGTTCGAACTGACATACCCCCTAATACAAATGTAACATGACTAATTTTGTAAGAAAAGATTTGGGATTATCTGAAATCCATCTAACACTGAATGTCACGGCTATTTAAATCTAACTTAAAGTATACAGAAATATTGGTTGCCTTTGTCTGGGTCATACACCTCTAGGCTAAGGCTTTCCGCCTTTTTATTATGAAAATCATGCATTTAAAATACTTAAGAAATCGTTAAATTAATAATTAATTTTAGTTACAACCAATTGAATCATATTTATTGAAGTTTTTATACTGACAAGATCTAGGTGGAATGTTCATGTCCCGAAGCCCGTTCGATGACTTGAATAATGTCAAGTACGCGTACCCTGTATACATGTACTTTCTCTATTTCTGTGACAGGATCACTTGTGCATGGAATTATTGAATAATATTATTTCTACTAGTGCTTTTGAATTCATTGATATGTACAATGCAAGTACAATTATTTATAAATTTTTATTTCATTTTCATGACCTTTTTTTTTTATAAAAATCTGACTACACTGTTTGATAATGAAGTTCAATTTCATTCACTGTGTGGTCTGAACAATTACCAAATAACGGACACATTTGACAACCGCCACAACTCGTTTCATGCACAAAAATTTTATAAACGTGTAAATGTTGTCATTCAAAGCAACACGATGCTTTATGTACATTTTTCCTTTTAGAATGGATTTAAAAAAAAATCAACTTGGTTTTTTTCAAATTTGTCATGTAATGTTTTATTGATTGTCCAAAATTGAAAAAGACGTCCGATACGTGTTCAATAAATCTCTTAAAAATAGAGTCAAATTCCTTTCCAAAATTTATAAGGAGGACATACCAGTTATACCATTTCTTTTATATTCGCCGGAACCTTTGCCTATCCATGACCGCGTTCTATGGAATTTTCAGATTCTCTCTTGCTATATATTTTTCCTTTCAAAAACCATTGAAGTTTTATATTCATTCAAAAAGTACGTTTATTAACTAATTAATTTATTCTTTTTTTTATTTGTATTCAGCCTTGTAAATTAACCAATTATGAACAACTGTATTGTGTCCTTTATACTGTTCTCAATCGCGTAAATGACAGCTTTGATAAATTCTAAACTTTAAAAAAACAGTTAGCTTTATAGCTTAACGAAAACAAATTTAAGTAATGCTATTAAAAATATTTGCCGTATGTTATCCTACGTTTGGCAGAGCCAACAAAAAGCACAAATTATTAGTGTCCATACCTTTTTTGGCGAGAACTGTGCGTGTGTTGATTTGCCATTTCTCAGCACGTGTAAGGTAAACGGTCAATACTTTTGTGAAGTGTTGCAACTTTACTGTGTAGTTCATGGCTATATACTGTGAAAGGGTGTTACTTTAAGAAATATCAATGTGTTATGAAAGTTTAGTTTTCGACATTTACATGTAATTCTTCAACAGAAGCTCTTGATTTCAGTTTCAGCATCACTTAAATGAATGCTTGTCTTATAACAAAGAGTACACAAAGCTACACACATTTCCCCTCAGATTTGGAATATAGGATCATATAGGGTCGAACTTATTTTTGTTGAAATTATAACCCAAATGATAGTTTTTGTAAAATGTGTTTTAATTCCGTAAAACGAAACAAGAAAGCTGGTATACAGTTTTTGGATAGTGGTTTTTATATGCCTTAAACTTCGTTTTATTCATTCATGGAAAATCTTAGATTCACAAAATATGGCTTCAACTATAACACGTTGAATAAATAATCATTTTCTGACATTGGGTACCAAATCTGATTATACAACATAATGAGTATACTTAATTAAGTTTGCACTCATGACATTTGTCATCCATAAGGTTGAAAATTTCCTTTAGAGCAGCTTCATGTACAAATCCAGGTAGTTCATTTTTGTAAGGGAGGGACAAATCAAGAGATTATTTATATAGTCATAATAAATTAATACGTCTCCGTACTATTTATTTATGTCGGATTATCTAACTTAATGATCAAGTGAAGTGAAAAGAAAAACACCAGACTTCAAAAATTATAATTTATTTAGGCTGTAACAACATGGGAAATATATTTTTGAACAATAAGCGAATAAAAATGATAAATTCTTAAGATTCAATAAAATTCCATTTAGGATATATTCTATAATATAAAACAAGCTTCAACAAAAGTGGAATGCAAAACTTTATAAATAAAAATATTCGAGCCTACAAAAGAAATTAAAAGGAAACATGCAAATTAGATAATGATAAATAAATTTAAACATGATCATTTGAAACGTCCGTTATAGACGTTTTTTTTACAGTATTTCATGAATGTTGATGGAGAAGTTATAAACTTAATACAAATGTCATTAAAAATCTATATTATAAAAAGAAAAAACGAAAATGATCCTGTACTACAAAATAAATTGTTTATGAACAACAGTTACTGTTGTCTAATGTCATCTTTCTCGGTAAAGTAATTCACAGCGACAGACGACAAGCAAGTTCAATTGATCACGTGACCGCTACAAAGACCAGGATTTAAGAACAAAAGCAAACATCGCCTTACTAAACATATAACTTATCATATATTTTAGTCTAGACTTAACACACACTGTAAGTTATATGTGAATACAAGAAGTAATATAACGAGACTATAGTCAGGATTTATCTCCTCCCTACCCCCCCCCCCCCCGCAAAAAAAAACCTCAAGACGTATGATACAGGTTTTCTCGCGCAGTATACACTGTCAGGAACTATGATACGGTATAATATAGTTTAAATTGATATCATTGTTTCGTATTTAAGTAAATCTAAAAACTAGTTTAACTCTGTAACACGACCAGAGATAGGTGTGTTAGACTAGGAACTGTTTAGAACTTGGTATAAGTGTAAAGACAACTTTCTTATTATGGTTATTTGTGTCATTGAGTTGTCGTCTGGTTGACATTTAGCCCATACCTCCTTTTATTCATACTAAAGGTATGCTTTGTTGTTCTTAAATTGACATTTTACTATCGAATAGGGGTGGTTAGAGCCTGGTCTTTTCATTCATCATGTGATCAATTGTGGTATGGATATAGTAGAATATATGCTTAAAGAATTATCCAAAACAGGCAATTTTATGGCATCTCTACATTTTCATGTATATGTTACATTGACTGATCTTTATTAATCTATGGCAGTTTCAATTAAGTTTCAGTCAACGTAACGCCACCACTGTACACCAGACAAAAATAATAGTTAATTGCATATCCAAATACTGAATTAGCGAAGTAACCCAGATTAATTACCCTACAACATTATGCATATTTTGCTTGACACCATTAGTTACGTTAAGCTAGAAGCGTACATGTATGAGGGTGTGGATTGGAGTTTAAAGATTAGAGAATAATGGGCAGAAATAATAAAGAATAGAAAAAATTGAGCAGCTAAAATATATAGAATAGAGAATAATGGGCAAAAAATATAAATAATAGATAAAATGACATAAAAAATTAAAGAATACAGAAATGAAGGACCCCCCCCCCCCCTATCCAGACCCTCATGTATTCAAATAAAATATATTTGGAAACATTGAAACCTTTAAAGTACTTAACACACGGATGAAAACCTCTGAAAGCACACACGTTACTGTAGTTGGCTGCAGGGGAGGTAAATCGTATTTTCATTTAAATATTTTTTTATGTAAAGCACACAACATTTTTATTTTTTATATTGTCACGTGATAATGATATAATTTTTTTTTCTCCAAAATACTGATGGACATTAAGCAAGCAAACACTTATCAATCTTACCAAAAACGCAGATACTTTGAAAATAAATATATTGTAAAAATTTCCAAAATATATTTATACATCATGATCTCGTTGCAGTGTTTTGCCTAGATTGTCATGGGGTTGTTCCACTACTAGTTCAATTGAAACCGTTTAAAAAATTATCTGATCTTAAACGATTCTAAGTAAATGATGTTTTCCGTTTAACTCAATACTGAAAATGTAATACAAAATTCCAAACGTATCAGCAGGTATAATGCGTTGTTCTATTTGTCAGTGAGGTATGCTTTAAATGTTGGTCATACATTACAATTAAACAATACATTTACATAAATCAAATTCTACATTTCAATCATATATTAGGATTGACATTTGACATCTGCTATGTGAAGTTTTATAAGGTTTTAATAAAAAAAATATGTTTATTTAAAATCAACTAAGATAAAGTAAAAACAAGAAAAAAGAAACAAAAACGAAGAAAGACAAAATGGAAACTCTAAAAATAAGAAATTGTTGTTTTTTAATCATAAATCAAAATGGCTGTGTATACGTCTCCTCAGACTTTCAATCGCTTGATAGCTTATTTCATTAATTAATGAAACTTAAATCGTCATGTATATTTTGTATGACAGTCATGCTTATGTTGAACGGTTCATAATTTAATATTTATCATGATACGATTAATTCTTACTTCAAAATATCAATTCCGTTTTGTAGAAGAGAATTGTGAGTAACAATTTCGGACCAAAAAGTTCACTTTTTATACATTTTACAAAAAATCCAATTTATTCTTGAATGAAAGATATGAGTAGCACACATTTGTGTAAAATTAGTCTGATAGTTATAATGTTTATAATGAGATTTTTTTCTGTCTGGTCTATATAATAATGTTGCACCAACAATCGCAGTCCTATAAGTTATATACTGAAATGTTCATGAAATTATTTATTGTGCATGCATGCACCAATTCACCAGATATCACAGTCGTCTCTTCATACTATATATATATATATATAACATATATATATATTTAACATAACATTTTAAACCGGAACAGTCTTTTAATACCATATATATATGTATGTACATGTAACATATATGATATGAACCATTGCATGTATACACTCATAAACCATAACATAGTTTTTATTTGCAAGCACCATATACATGTATATAAAGCTTACATATATACATGTACAATGTATAAACAACATATCAACCATAGCGTGTTCACACCATTAACCATGACAGAGTCTTTTTATACCATATATATACATGAACATTTAACTTATGATATCAACCATAGCATGTATACACCAATAAACCATAACAGATACTTTTTATGCCATATAGATATAAATATATATAACTATAGCATGTACACGTCAGTAAACTATAAAACTAGTTATATACAGCAACCATAATCAAGATGAATGCACCAATATTTCTATGGCACATTCTATATTTAAAACACAAGCATACTAATAGTATCATGGTACAATTGTATAGCCAGCATTAAGTGTTTGGTTAACTAATAACAATGTCCCATTAACAGGCAGTGTCCCATTGTCAATTTGTTTGCGTAATTCTTCAGGAAATACTGAAAGCCCCAAGAAGGGGCTTATGTAAGCATTGAAGCAAAGGTTCATGATTAAAACTGTCACAATATTCACAACAGCACCTCCAAACACCTGAAAATATAAGAAGATAAATAAATCACCTTGATTCTGGTAAAAAGAGAAATATTGGGACGACCTAGGCTTTTTTTCAGGGTCGACCTAAACTTTGATGATTGTGTATTCCTGGGCTTTTATGTCAAAAGCTATTACATTTGATTAAGATCAACTGCAGATACTGCTACTCATTAAATCTACGAGATGGTGTTCTGTATTTCCAAAATGTTTGCTCATTTAAATAGCATATCAGTTAACGTCATGAGATGAACGGTAAACGAGGTACTGGGTACTGAGCGGATGATAACGGTCTTCTTTTGAATTTCAGTTTCAATGATATGTCTGGTATCACTTGTTTCTCTCTGTTGCATTTCAAAATAGACGGATTCGTTCATAATATAATTGCTAGTAAGTCCAATCTTGACTATTAAGTATTATGTGATGTTGAAGAAACGAAAGAACCGTAAGGGATTAGCCACTTCTTTTCATTTCTTTTTAAGTTCTGCAAATTTTCCTAAATATTCTTTTTTCAAAGTATAAACCTTGAACTATGAAGGAGCATATTTTCTTCTAGTATGATATACAGACTGTGAAAAACAGGCACCAGATGATATCATTTATATGCACACCACATGTGTAAATTCACTAAGCTTTCAACACCTGTATAGGTTCAGTAGAATTTGTTTAAATCGGACAAAACTGAAATAAATGACTTAACAAACAGTTTCATATAGTATTTCATGTATTTTTACTATGTTTTTATACAGTTTATCATTCTGTTGTACGAAAAACAGAGATTTGTTCATACCAGATGAAGATTTGAAATATAATTGTATTTACCGTAAAATAGTGTCCATTCTGATATACTTGAACTATTCGTTCGTGTTGCTCAGTCTTTGGTTTTCTATATTGTGTTTTGTGTACTGTTGTTTGTCTGTTTGTCTTTATCGTTTTTTAGCCTTGGCGTTGTCAGTTTATTTTCGACTTATGAGTTTGAATGTCCCTTTGGTATCCTTTGCCTCTCTTATAAAACATTTGCGTATCGTTGACAATGACCAATATAAAGTGCTAAATCCATATTAATAATGCATGACAACAGTTTAAAAAAAAGTCTTCATATCATTTAAAGCTTATGTAAAACTGTTTGATATTTTTATGTACATGTCAAACTGTTACAGCTTTATATGAGAAAAATGGAGCATGTAATTTTTGTGTCTATTAAGGATGTACTTAGGTGAAATTTTAAAAATCTAGAATTTAAAATTGATACTATAAGTCAGAAGAACATTAGTTAAGGAACAAAATAAGCTAAAAATATTGATAGGTTATGGAACTCCTTTTGGAGATATTTGAGTTTTAAAAAATGGCAGGAAAATGCTGACTCGGATTTTTACCTTATATTTAGCATTGGCATTAATAGGGTCTCAAATCGTCAGAAAAACAATCTAGAATCAGCTTAAATTTTGGTAATGACCTTTTTATGAGCTATTGAACTCTTCTATGAAAAGAAAGGTGGGTGATATGGGGCAAAGTATTTTACCTTGTATCGTAGGAAAAAACCCAAGAAGACCGAACATCTGACAAAAATTCATAATCCTCACCTGAGTACATCCTTAACCGTTCTAAATACTTTATCTTTAATTACTATCAAACGAAACATTTTTTATCAAATTAAGGAAGATATAGCATAGTCGATTTGTAAAGAAAAAGTAAAAAAAATACTGTTCAGACACATTTTTATTATCTTTCTTTTATTCTGTAAAATAACTCATTATTTCCCTATTCAGTGCTATTGCATTGCAGTTTCAAAGTATACTTGTACGAAACACTAGATTTACATCTTAAATTAATAAGACAAAGGATGAACCATTCATTTATTAAAGAACAGAAAGACTCCGGGTGCGGGATTTTCTCGCTGTGTTGAAGACCCATTGGTGGCCTTGGGTTGTTTTCTGCTCTCTTTGGTCGGGTTGTTGTCTCTGACACATTCCCCATTTCCATTCTCAATTTTAAATTGAAAATGTACTGCAAGGTTTCTGATCAGAGTCGTAAAAATGTATATGTGCTTTATTATCCATGTAAGTGTGTCATTTGTGTAGCACCATGTGTTTGTCCGTGTCTGTTGAGTGTGTATAGCTTGATCCGGGTACATGTTACAGAGAGTGGTGTGCCTTTTAAGACCCAGTTTAACATTTACTCCCCAATTGGTTTCAGTTGAGAATGAGTATATTTTACAAGCTACCATTTTCGTATACATACCATATCCTTAATAGTCAAATATCCAGTTGAAAATACTATTGCATTAGGTGGTGTACCAACCGGAAGTAAAAAAGCAAAAGAAGCACTCAGGGTTATGGGAATCATGAAAAAAAGTGGATGCACTCCTAGTTGAATGGCCTGAAAAGAAATAAAACTATACATGTATACATAAAAAAATGTAAATTTATCTTAAATGAAGTCATATAGATTACAATATCAAGATTTTTTTTAACATTATTGGTCAAGCTTGGCTGCAAGAAGTTCCTACCTCAGGTAGAGTTTATCTACAAAAACGATTATCTATGACACACTACTCATATTTTGAAATCCATTGCTATATTTTGATATTTATAAGTTGATTACTAACAAATACAATTATTTTTCTTTAATTCTTTTAGTAATACCCAGAAATAATCCATTACTTTATTTATGTCATGCGTATTGTTGCTATAGATACGTATATGTAAGAGTCGCCAATTGTTAACCAATTTTCGACGTTGAGTATACGAATCAATATAAATACTTGAGGTAACTACATAAACCCTAAACGGAGAGAGATCAGATACGTTGACAGGAAAAGCATCCATTATCCGCAATGAGAGTACAGACTCATTGGATATTACTAACTTCAGCGTATACCAAAATGTAATATATCGCAACTCGAAAAGGTACGTTGCCTTTGAACATCTAAATTTTTGTGTGCGAATATAAAAATAAAAAGATGTGGTATGATTGCCAATGAGACAACTCTCCACAAGAGACCAAATGACACAGAAATTTACGACTATTGGTCACCGTACGGCCATCATCAATGAACAAAGCCCATACCACATAGTCAGCTATAGAGGCCCCGAAATGACAAATGTAAAACAATTCAAACGAGAAAACTAACGGCCTAATTTATGAACAAATAATGAACGAAAAACAAATATGGACAGTGGTGTAACAGTACAACATATAAGAACAAAGTACTCTTTAAATTTATTTTCTTGTATATTGACGTTAATTTACTAGCAGATAGACGTATGTCACTAATGAACTGAAATAGATATAAGAAGATGTGGTATGAGTGCCAATGAGACAACTCTCCATCCAAGTCAAAATTTATAGAAGTAAACCATTATAGGTCACAGTACGGTCTTCAACACGGAGCCTTGGCTCACACCGAACAGTAAGCTATAAAGGGCCCCCAAAATTACTAGTGTAAAACCATTCAAACGGGAAAACCAACGGTCTAATCTATATAAAAAACGAGAAAGTACATTTAGATTATCGTTCAGGTCTAAAAATCATTACTTACTAAATGGAACACAATAGGAACAAAAATGGTTGATGGTTGATTACTAACAAATACAATTATTTTTCTTTAATTCTTTTAGTAATACCCAGAAATAATCCATTACTTTATTTATGTCATGCGTATTGTTGCTATAGATACGTATATGTAAGAGTCGCCAATTGTTAACCAATTTTCGACGTTGAGTATACGAATCAATATAAATACTTGAGGTAACTACATAAACCCTAAACGGAGAGAGATCAGATACGTTGACAGGAAAAGCATCCATTATCCGCAATGAGAGTACAGACTCATTGGATATTACTAACTTCAGCGTATACCAAAATGTAATATATCGCAACTCGAAAAGGTACGTTGCCTTTGAACATCTAAATTTTTGTGTGCGAATATAAAAATAAAAAGATGTGGTATGATTGCCAATGAGACAACTCTCCACAAGAGACCAAATGACACAGAAATTTACGACTATTGGTCACCGTACGGCCATCATCAATGAACAAAGCCCATACCACATAGTCAGCTATAGAGGCCCCGAAATGACAAATGTAAAACAATTCAAACGAGAAAACTAACGGCCTAATTTATGAACAAATAATGAACGAAAAACAAATATGGACAGTGGTGTAACAGTACAACATATAAGAACAAAGTACTCTTTAAATTTATTTTCTTGTATATTGACGTTAATTTACTAGCAGATAGACGTATGTCACTAATGAACTGAAATAGATATAAGAAGATGTGGTATGAGTGCCAATGAGACAACTCTCCATCCAAGTCAAAATTTATAGAAGTAAACCATTATAGGTCACAGTACGGTCTTCAACACGGAGCCTTGGCTCACACCGAACAGTAAGCTATAAAGGGCCCCCAAAATTACTAGTGTAAAACCATTCAAACGGGAAAACCAACGGTCTAATCTATATAAAAAACGAGAAAGTACATTTAGATTATCGTTCAGGTCTAAAAATCATTACTTACTAAATGGAACACAATAGGAACAAAAATGGTTGTAGTTGCTGCATTACTGGTGATGTTGGTGATGGCGGCCACTATAATTGTCAAGATAAGTACACTGACCCATGGAGGTATACCTGACAAGAACGACAGAGATTCAGCTATGGTATTTGACAACCCTGATGCCTGTGAAAAGATAAACAGTGTAGTCAATGTTAAAATAGGAGACGAGAAGTTTTTTTTTTCATTGTATTATATTGATTGATTGATTGATTGGTGTTTCTGCCACTTTCAGAACAATCGATTTTAATTAGTGGAGGAAGCCAGAGTGCACGGAGAGAACCACTGACATTCGGTAGGAAAACTGACACTCCTAGTCAATTAAGATTGGAGTCGAACTAAAAAAACCTCAGTATTTACAGGCTAATAATACAGAAGTTGGACTCGGCCACCGAGGCTCCCCATTGTATTATACATAGCTCGCTTCTTAATAAGTATCGAAATAGCTCGAAAAGAACCATCGTCTGTACCGGATAGGTTTGTTTAAATTTATTTAAACCCTCTAGTGCATTGTACATTGACGTGTACTTTCGAATCCTTAAAAGGGATAACTATTTTAGCAAATTTCAAAGTTGATGTGTGACTGCAAGACCATTTATATCTTGCCTCATTCTGAAATCTATGAATATAATGAACCTCAAGTTGTGCCATGTTAATAGTGAGAATTTAAACCGATAACATAAATTACCGAAAGAATTGGACAGCATAACAAACCTCATCAACAACCAATAACCAACTCTTCAGAGTAAACAAGAACAAACAACACATGATCATACCGCCGTAATGGGACAGATGCAAATGCGAAATTAGCTATGTATAAATTGTGATTGAGCAATGGGGTTTGTGTACATTTTGCACTTCAACTAAAGAAAATTGAAAAGAAAAGATGTGTTATATTTATTCATAAGATAAAATCTCTAATCACATTAGACATATCTCACAGCATTTAAGCCATTCTAGTATTGTTATTCATTATCATCAATCATTTACATTATTATTTCAAGTTAATCAGTGATGTTTTGTCGGCGAGTCATTCTGATTTTGGGAGATAACATCAGCTACAGGACAAATTGGACACAAACTAAACAAATCCTATTTACTGACAAAAGAGACTCCGTGAATGACCACCTGCACATCTTAGATTATTTCAAATAATTTGAAAGCTTTTTCCTAAAAAAAGATCTTCATTCTGTTGCTTCCTTTCTTAAGCATTCACTGTTTTTATCTGTTTTAGTGGCCCCTTGATATCTTCTTCCCTTTTTTAAGACCTAAATTCCATTAGCTGATATCTTACATAACTTACATGCATCGGCTAATGCAAAGCCACCACCGATGAGCAGTATAACTCCCCATGGTAGTTTTTTATGGAATATTCTCCAATTTAGTAAAGGTACGTACTCATCTTTTAAGCTTTATCTATGTACTGTCTTTTTGTCGGTTTTAGTTGCTCCTTGATATATTCTCCCCTTTTTTAAGACCCAAATGCCATTAGCTGATATCAACATCTTATTGTTGTACAATTACATACTGATTTCAAAAATGCACAAATGTATATTACACTTTTATAGTGACATTTATGAACACTTCGAAGTATGGCCGTAAATCCTGCCAATACTTATATTTTGGCATTGCAAGAGGCCAGCCTGCTAATGACGTCTTTTGAGATGATCAATATGTTAAACATGTCACATTTTTTTATATGCCACCCCACCCCCATCCGCCCTGTAGGTTTGTTTTATGTTTGTATAAATTGAATTTAGCCATTTATGTACATACCTTACATGCATCGGCTAAAGCAAAGCCACCACCCATGAGCAGTATAACTCCCCATGCCAGTTTCTCATGGACTATTCTCCAATTCAGTAAAGGTACGTACTCATCCTTTTTAGCTTTATCTAACTCAACAACAACTTCATCGTTACTAATTGCTTCGTCCTCTTCTGTAAATCCAATTTAAATTTATCATTTAAATTGTAAGAAAACTCTTTATGTTTAAGGTAAGACTTATTTTACAATGTAGATTTAATTTGTTAAACACTTATTTCTTTCCTGTGTTTTGTTCATAGTTGATAAATAAATTGTTTTAAGATATAATATAGTCGTTGATATTAATTTAAAACAAAAGCGTTACAACTTCTATGTTCATGATTGTTATAAATATGTCATAATGGTTAATGTTTTTCTACTTATAAAGTATAATCAAATAATATTTAAAATATATCTAATTAAGAAATTGTAAGTCATGACCCGCTGCCTTGTGCTGAATATTAATTCATATACATGTATGTGTTTTCTGAACCAGCCATGCAACAGTTGTGGATGATTATTAACCTAAAGACGTAAACATTGTGTCTTTTATTAATATGGGACAAAAGTAGTTAAAGATAATGTACCCTTTTGTTGTTTTAGTGCTAAACATATGGAAATTTTATACAAAATTCGCAGCCTTTCCCCCTTGTACTCCTACATTTGACAATTCGATGCCTAATAGTTAGAGAATTGTTGCATGCAGTGCTACCAATGATTTCCCTAAAACAATTATATAAGTAAAGATATTGGTTAAAACAATTACATAATGGACTTATTCAAGTACACCTTCTAGGTTGCGCTCGATTTTAGTGACTAAGCAAGAGGGTTTTCGGATTGTAAAGTTTATTTTGTAGACAATAAATACTAGCACATCATGGACAAACAAGTGAGTAATCTATGTGTGCAATTTCAGAACGAAACCGACCATGTGTGTGAAACATGTAAGGTGTCTGATAAAATGTGGGGTTTGTTCCTTACGTCTGCAAAGATGGTATGTGTTGTACTTTATCCTACAACTATCCTTATTTTTTACAATTTGGACCAAATTCAGTGCTCAATATTTTGTTTATTAGCATCCTGCTTTTCTCCTGGCGACGTCAACACATTATAATTTTGTAAGAAGGTTCACAGATGTACGTAATAATACAATCCTAATTTTAATGACACACTTAAATTTAAATATGTCAGCCATTTTATACAAAATCATTTTTCTTTACGGAATCTTTTTAAGCTATCGCAATTCCCTTAGCATAAAGATTCAAGATGTATCTCCATTAGCTGAATTTATTTGCTTTAAATATTTTAAAGGCATTGAATGGTTATAGCATCTATAGAAAATTGGCACTAACCGTTAATGTTCTTATTTTAACAGAAAGGCGTGATTTAGTGTACAAAAGAAAACATTTTTAAAATTGTGTGTGTCCGGGGTGCTTTCTAAGATTAACCTTTATCAGAAACATGTAGACCCAAGCTATTTAAAGTATATAAATACGTATATCACCAAAACATAATCTTGATTAAAATAGCAATAAGTAACAGATGATGATCCCATTTTTCAATAAAGAATACAATGATATATATACCAACTGTAGAAAGCATTGTCATTGAACAAACATCACACATATTGATATTGCATACTATTTGTACTCTGTTAAATTTCCAAAGTTTTGATAAGTTTGTTTTAGTCGAAATCACATTGACGAATATGACGAAACTGAATAATGTATATCTATACATTATAAACAAAAATTAAATAAAGTTAGAGAACGGAAACCAATTGCGGGACGTACGGAAGTACAGACGGACAAGGGTAAAACTTAATGTCCCTCCGCTATGGCGGGGGCATAAAAACCAATATGCAATGAATAAATATGATCATGTTTTGTTCAAAACAATGAGAAACATCTGTATGTTCTACAGTTCACCAAGTTAGTAGTTTTATAGTTATGTGTTATCTTGATATAGTCAACAGTGCTCTCCCCTTGTGTCCATTTTAAGAGTCATTAGGTCATTAACTAATTGAATTGAAAAATATACTACTACATTAAGCAATTTGCCGTTTGGTGTACAAACAGAGCGATAAAATGTATTTTTTGGATAGATATACTTCTTTATTATAAAAGAAAAACACTGGATCAGTAACAGAGAAAGCACTGCAAACAAGTACAATAGCTTAAAGAAAATGACTTAAAAGCAATGATTTATGTCTTCAAATATGTAACGCCTGTACGTGAAGTGATTAAGTACCTAGGTTTCTGCCGCAACACCTACAACCTGAGAGGTATAATAATATGTTGTGAACCCTTGTCATGTATAATTATACTATCAATATCACTAGCCCTCATTCTGGTCTTTTCCTATCCTCTTTTCTTAACTTAAATATAGATACCATCACAAGAGTAGCAATGACCCTTGATCTTTTCCAAACTTGTATGAATCATAATCTATCTTTGCAATAAAAATTGCCCTAAAACGCATCATTTTTGAACAAAACCATAAAACGTACCTTTCCTTACCTTAATGGGTCGCACAAAGTATATACAGGTATGCAAACGAACATTTACTAGTATATTGTACCAGTATCTCAAAGTTAGTAAAACATTTTAGATATTTTTGTGAAAACACATATTTCTAAAAGCACCTATTTTTATCTAGAAAATTATTTAATGAACTATATTTATTCTTTATGTGCCTTTCCCAAGTCAGGAGCCTGTAGTTCAGTGGTTTTCGTAGTTTCAGATCCATCATATTTGTATTTCGTAAATTGTTTTGTTGTAAATTAGGCCTTTAGTTTTCTCAATTGCATTATTTCATATGTTTCGTGTAGGGGCCTTTTATAGCCGACTATACGGTATGGGTTTTTCTCATTGTTGAAGGCCGTACGGTTGCCTATCATTGTTAACTACCACTTTATTTGAACTTTGGTGGATAGTTGTCTCATTGGCAATCATACCACATCTCCTTATTTTTATATACATAACATAGAAATCACACTCATATGATATCATGAATGATAAAGCACTGCATACATGTATGTATATAGTATAGGATTTCTTAAAGCCGTTCTGTGACCTATAGTATGTTATAGCTTTGTCTGTTGTCATTAATGGACAATTGTTTCATTGGTCATCATACCACATCTCTTTAGTTTTGATATATTATACATGTATTTTAATCCTGGTACTGATGAGTTTATTTACAACTTAGAAACTTAACCGACACACTTTGATAATAGAAAAAATACCAGAAAAAGAACAATTCCAATTAATACTGAATCCAATGTTTTATATGAACGATTGAAAGGTGTACAATGCTTTAACTAAGTAATTTTGATAGGTCACAAGTAAACAAGGAACCTTTATACCTATACCAACATATAGAGAAACTAAACATTTTCAAACTGCTATATTCGTCTTTCAAAAGACTAAAACCAATGTTTTCTTTCAAGACGCAAGATTTACAAATGTATTTATATTACAATTCCACTTCCCAGATACATACAGCCACAAAGACACCCCTTTGAAAAAATGAGACCAAAAAAACAGAAGAAACAACAAGTAACTTCTCACCTCCAACAAAGTAAGTAATGCATATCTAATTAAAAAACAAAATATAAAACGTATCATTTATATGTTATCAAGCTCAAATTACAATCCTTGAAATAACTTTTGATACCCTATACACGTTACCTTATTTTATACGACTGATGTGGATAGAAGAATAGATAATATATAATGTACATATCTCTTATGCATGTTAATTTGCAGTCTAGTGATCAACCTTGGAAGAATTAGATATCAAGTCAGTACCATAGGGTTTTGATTGCATTTCATGCAATCTTTACCCAAAAACTCAAACTTAGTTCAATAAAAAAAACCTTGGACCAAAGCAGAAATATGGCAATTGATCACCAAATGTTTAACTGAGATATTGTTCCCGTAATAGTTGCCAGTTTATGTGAATTTGAATGTGATAATTTAATTTACATTGACATTATATCTTTAGTTAATCCCTATTCTAACACATTACATTACCTTGTGATGTTGCTTTCGTACAATTGAGTTGTTGATTTCTCAGGAATCCTGGAGGTTGTGACGGAAGAATAAAAAGTACTACAGCCATAAGAATAGCAGGAACTGAATCAGTGATATACCTTTAAAAGCAATATTGTCAATATTGTCAATGTTCATTCTATTAGAAATAAGTTTCGAAATAATAGTCTCGTTGAAATGTCTTTTAGTCACACTTTTCTCGGGTTGTAGTTTGCCTGATGTTTACGTCATGTTCCAGTTAACCCATGCTATTCACTCAGGTTTATTTTTACTGGATTTGTATTTTAATAATGGATTCATTAGATTTTAACATCTGTCAACTTTTTTTGCCTTAAATTTATTTATATACATAATTTAATAATTGTTCCTGCTGTTAACGTTTTATCATGAATAAATCTTTACAGTCTAAAGAATAAAACTGGTTCCCACTTAATCATTGATTTTTGTTCTGTCACAATTTATTCCATAAAAGACCAAATCATAGTTGTTGTTATCCAACATAGCAGTCCTTAAAACACTTATATGTAAATACTCCTTAAACACGTGGTTATTTCTCTTGAATATTATATGACATACCATTTGTGTAAACTATTTTAAGCCGAAGTTCGAGACGATATTGATCGACGAGTGTTATAGGTTGCAAGTCTGTTAATATAGACAATGCAATTTCCCGTAGGAACTCCCTTTGCGGCTAAAACTGTGCCACTTTTAATAGGAAGTTTGGTGAAAAATTATATCCCTGAACGGAAAGTTGATATACACTACTATTTTATTCAAAGGTCAAAATATAGGGCTGTGCGGCATATTTTCAACATTTATATGCCCTGAACTTCTAAGAGTTTAAACTTTACTAAAATGCTATACTACCCCTACCTCCACTTTTCGACCTCCTAAGAATTAAATTTTAGGCGCTACCATTTTTTTCTATATACTGGTAACATTCTCAAGTTATGTCTCTATGAGATGAAACACAGAGATCATATCTGGGAACCAGTACGTTAACAAATTAACATATCTATGAATATAATATATCTCCCCAAAAGAGGCGTGGCTTGTGAAACAGCTGTATTTACAAAGTGCTACCTAAAATCACTCTATTATAAAGATTTATATTGACTTATCAATACCGAATTTCAAGATATTTGGTACCCAGTTAAATTCATGCAGGCCAGAAATATATATATAATAAACATGTACTTGTAGCCCCCTATAACGTTCTTTTACATGAAACATAATCTTGCGCTGACATAGTTTAACATATCTCAGCTTTGCCAATTGGAAAAAATAAGAATTTTATGGATTTCAACTTCTTCCATATTAATGTATTTAATTACAAAGTAGCATAGAGTTCATGGATATACTTTGGATAATGTTTCCTTTATTTCGCTTCATGTAAAGCTACATATAAACTGAATCATAACATGTACCTATTCAAAATGGATCTTTGTGTAATTCATACAATCAATCGTAGATACGTCCGGTGATCGGGCTATTATTCAGCCAATAAAATACATTTATTTTTTTACTTTTTTTGCATGATAACAAAAATACAATTTGAACATTGTATCCGAAATGTATTACCTTATTATAAAAGTGAACAATTTGTTATGATTACAGTTTATTTGTAGGTAATAGATTAATACAGTTAAAGTATGAAAATCAGATAATTATTGGTTTTAGTACCAATATCCTTTTTGTTTAACATCCAACCCTCGTCCGTGCATATCATCAATTTTTTGTATGTTTCGTATTAGTCTCCGACATAAAAGTGCCACTGTAGACTATTCATCATGACAGGGCTATCTCTTTCAGACAATCATATAGAATTAGATGTTCAAATAATTCTCCCCTAACAAAATATTCATCACAAAAAACGTTCTTACTACATTTCTGTAAAGAAAACACAATTGAAATATTGTTAGTGGCTGTTTACAGTCTATGAATTGTTTTCTTCGAAGGTGTTAGTGGCTGTTTACAGTCTATGTATTATTTTCTTTGAAGGTGTTAGTGGCTGTTTACAGTCTATGTATTATTTCCTTTGAAGGTGTTAGTGGCTGTTTACAGTCTATGTATTATTTTCTTTGAAGGTGTTAGTGGCTGTTTACAGTCTATGTATTATTTTTTTTGAAGGTGTTAGTGGCTGTTTACAGTCTATGTATTATTTTCTATGAAGGTGTTGGTGGCTGTTTACAGTTTATGTATTATTTTCTATGAAGGTGTTAGTGGCTGTTTACAGTCTATGTATTATTTTCTTTGAAGGTGTTTGTGGCTGTTTACAGTCTATGTTTTTTATGAAGGTGTTGGTGGCTGCTTACAGTCTATGTTTTTTTTTCTTTGAAGGTGTTTGTGGCTGTTTACAGTCTATGTTCTTTATGAAGGTGTTGGTGGCTGCTTACAGTCTATGTTTTTTTTCTTTGAAGGTGTTTGTGGCTGTTTACAGTCTATGTATTATTTTCTATGAAGGTGTTAGTAGCTGTTTACAGTCTATGTTTTTATGAAGGTGTTGGTGGCTGTTTACAGTCTATGTATTATTTTCTATGAAGGTGTTAGTGGCTGTTTACAGTCTATGTTTTTTATGAAGGTGTTGGTGGCTGCTTACAGTCTATGTTTTTTTTTCTTTGAAAGTGTTGGTGGCTGTTTAAGTCTATGTATTGTTTTATATAAAGGTGTTAGTGGCTGTTTACAGTCTATGTATTATTTTTTTTGAAGGTGTTAGTGGCTGTTTACAGTCTATGTATTATTTTCTATGAAGGTGTTGGTGGCTGTTTACAGTTTATGTATTATTTTCTATGAAGGTGTTAGTGGCTGTTTACAGTCTATGTATTATTTTCTTTGAAGGTGTTTGTGGCTGTTTACAGTCTATGTTTTTTATGAAGGTGTTGGTGGCTGCATACAGTCTATGTTTTTTTTTCTTTGAAGGTGTTTGTGGCTGTTTACAGTCTATGTTTTTTATGAAGGTGTTGGTGGCTGCTTACAGTCTATGTTTTTTTTTCTTTGAAGGTGTTGGTGGCTGTTTACAGTCTATGTTCTTTATGAAGGTGTTGGTGGCTGCTTACAGTCTATGTTTTTTTTCTTTGAAGGTGTTTGTGGCTGTTTACAGTCTATGTATTATTTTCTATGAAGGTGTTAGTAGCTGTTTACAGTCTATGTTTTTATGAAGGTGTTGGTGGCTGTTTACAGTCTATGTATTATTTTCTATGAAGGTGTTAGTGGCTGTTTACAGTCTATGTTTTTTATGAAGGTGTTGGTGGCTGCTTTCAGTCTATGTTTTTTTTTCTTTGAAAGTGTTGGTGGCTGTTTACAGTCTATGTATTGTTTTATATAAAGGTGTTGGTGGCTGTTTACAGTCTATGTATTGTTTTCTTTCTATGAAGGTGTTGGTGGCTGTTTACAGTCTATGTATTGTTTTCTATGATTGTGTTGGTAGCCGTTTACAGTTTATGTATTTTTTCATATGAAGTTGTTGGTGGTAGATGTTTGGTTATCTCATATTTGTTCGCAACTAATCTAGACTAAGGCATTTTGCAACTTAACATATGATTATATAAACATTCCCATTGTTGACAGCTTTTAGCTGTCATTATTGTCTTTGTTCATGCTGTTGTGTTATGTCTGTTTCGATGTTTGTGCGTATATATTTTTATAAAAATACTATTATATTACTTTGTTGGGAATAATGCTCCCCATCCGGGAACGAACTGCGGATTTCTTGTTATCCAAAGAACTGCCAAAAGAACAAAATCACCAAGTACCATCTTTTCTGCAAATCTACAAAAAAATGTAAATTAGATTAAGGTAACAGAAGTAACGTGTCTTTTTCTAAATAGATTTTCCTGCTGATGGTGGTTTCGTCCTTGAGTATATCACCAGCACAATGGTCAGCACTTTTGTGTTGATATCATTGATACATTAATTTTCTATTTGTTTACTGTTTATATATTTATATGTTTATATATAAATTATTCCAAACACTAAAGTTTTATATCCCCATTGGCAGATTGCCCAAGTCGTATTTGCTAAAATTTTGCGGAATGTTTGCGGTCTTCAATACTCTTTAATTTGGTTTTTGATTGGACTTTTCATGCATCGTATTGAAGAATATTACCCACATACCTATCCTACTCGTACCATTCTGATGACGAACTAATTTCGTCAGAAAAAATGTTTTGTCAAATTCGTAAATAGTTAGTCTGATTTATTGGAGCATTATTCAAAATGAAAATCTGACAAATCTAATGCATATACGATAAGTTACTTTTCTGTAATTTTACTGTTTATATGTTGAATTATTCAAAATACTTAAATAATAAACGAAACCCATACAAACAAACAAACAAACAAATAAACGAAATTGCAGTTTTAAGATTTTTTGATCAAAGAAAATGATATCTAAATTTGCCTCTCGGCATAATATAAAGATTTGTGCATATGTGTTTCTCTCATTCAATCTTCGTTGAACTATTTGTGTGCAGCAAATGTGATTACAGAAAATCAAATAGAAACCAACATACGTCATGCTTCCTAAACTTAGGTACTCCGTGTGCAAAAATTTCTTTACGTTGTCGTACGATCCTTCCTCTCCTCTCTCCACACAAGGAAAACATCTACAACGACAGAAAAATAGTATATTATCATATCATATTATACTTAAATATAAAGTAAGCTATCGCGAACTAAGGGACCAACCATTTTCTTATACCGTACTGGTGATATCGTAATGTTTAGGTTTCTCAATTTCGAGAAAAATAACTATCATATGATTTGCATAGTTTTCATAAAATGCCTTCAGTTGAAAAAGGAATTTGACCATGTGCGATCAGGCCACCATTTGAATAATAAGACCATGTACCTGTCTTATTTACTTATATTCTTATGATGTCTTTGCACATAAATAATTTAATTTTTTTTTTATATGCATTCGATGACTCTGTTGTCCAAAAATATGGCGTTTTTACAAAGTTGTTAAAAATATTTACTTTTAGCTATTTATTGGAAAGTAGAATACTTTCGTTACATAAATATGGGCTGTTTTGACAATACAATGGAAATGCATCATGTACTAGCATTATGTCATGCAAAAATACTGAAATCTTCACAATTTTGTGCTAATTTTAAGAGGTTTTTGTTTAAAATGGAAGTGGCCGCACTTGTGTTCAGAGTAAATTTTTAAATATATATGTTGAATTTAATGATAATACCTGACATATATAAATGTTGAGACTGAACACAAATGCGGCCACTTCCATTTTAGACAAAAACCATCTGAAAAGTGACGTTTTATGGCATATTTGATAGATTTTTCATATAAAGCTTGAATTTCGGCGTCTTTAATGACCAAATTAGTTCAAATCTTTAACATAAACTAATTGAATCGACTGAAGTAGACACTTAAGTTTTGAAAAATGTCAAATATCTTTCATCAGATGTACTTTGAATTTTAGGCCGAAATTAGCTCTTACCGGACCTTCTCCTTTGATTTATAGAATTCAAAATAACAATCAGTAATCACCTAAATGCGAAAAACACTTTAAATTTGCAGCTGCAGGTTTCTTTACAGATTGCAATTACGTTAAATAATTTATAAATAATTCCCTTATGAGTTAAAAACCAACTATGTACCCAGTGCTTATGTCATGTGCGTTTGTGCTTTTGTTTATGATATTTGTTGAATGAAAACAAACAAACAAAGACAAAAAACTACACATATTAAGAACAATAAGTGTTGCATTAAAATATGAAATGTGTTTTCCCTACATTTATTTAACTCGGTAGTTAGGCTAACATTACTATTATGAAAATAATTTATTTATATGATGTTTAATTTTATTTGAAAGCTTACTCCAAATGAAACATACTATTAACTTGAACCTGAAGAATTTAACAAGTGCTTGCTTGCATTTAATATATAGGTTCACTTGAATTCGTAAATGGTTGTTAACATTAAAAATATCACAATAACATACTGAAACCAATGTCATATCTGATCCGAAAATACAACACCATTATCACATTGTGCAATTTCGGCTTTAATATAAACCATAGTTAAGACCCAGCAACTTAAAATGTGCAGACGTTTGAGAATTATTTTTCATGTACATCAAAGGATAAATACTTGTTTTCTGGACTATAAACAAATAGCAGGTACACTTTATTCAAATAAAGAAACTCAAATTCATGCATGAAACTAGCACAGAATTGTTTTTTTAAAAATATATATTGATCTCATAGGAATGCACACTAGTTTTGCTAGCATATAAAGAAAGAACATAATCATTAAAGTGTAAGCACTTTAAATTATTACGCTAAAAAAATTTTGCTAATCAATCGTACTATGTATAAAATTTGAATTTTTACAGACTTTATTATCTTCGTATTGTCATTGATTTTACAAAAGTGCGTGTGACCATTTTTGCCTTTATTTGTTTCACCAGAGAGTCAAAACCAAGTAGTTGATTAAATCTATAGGGATTGTGAATTTTTAAGAGTTTGGATGGTATTCTTTGAAGGTTTGTTAACGTATTAAGATTTACCGTATATATCTGTAAATTGAAATATAGTTCTTTGGTATACATGATTCATTCACTTTGTCGATACATTATTGCATATTTTACATGTTTTATCTTGCATCTTGCATCGACGGACAGCCTAAACCAAACATACCAGTACGTCTTCTTAACCCAAACCAGTGCTTTACTTGTAACAACGTTTGGTTTCAATTACTTTTTTGTTAGAATTAAATACTTAAAATCTGCCCAAATCTGTCAAAGTTGCAGTTCTGAGCAATCTGTATGCGTTTAGGAAACAAGTTGCCTACAGGTTTAATTATATTTAGGTGTAGTACCACCAAATCATCATGATCATAGTACGTCACATCTGGTTTCATACGAAAAAGGGTCGAAAAAAAAAAATATTTCCTTGAATTTGACAGTTGCAGGAAATTAATCCTAAATTTCATTGCAGTAAAAAAATTCTGAGTCGCAAACATATTTTGGACTTTCAAAGCACTATTTTTTTTTATTTAGTGTTAATTCTATAAAATATGTTGGAAACTTGAGGTGACATGGTTACGAAATCTTGTAAACAGGACAAAATGGTGAAAATTTGATTGGTTTACTTCCAGTGATGGTTATTATCTTATATCACAGCTCTTCCTCTTGTTTTGTTTATGTTACATGCTTAATATACATTACAAAATATTGCAACATTGTTTTTTTCGCATTTATTTCCTTTAAATTCTTAAAAGAGTGTTCGCAATCATATTGCTGAAATATGCATTCGAGAATTCATTAGTTTTGTGTACCGAGAAATGCAACTAAACACTGAGTTCCTTAAATCATTTGTTATATTGTTATATGTAATCAATTTTCAGTCTCCAGCATTTTCTTTTTCTGAAATTTTATTGAGGTGTTTGTGGATGCGGATGGATCATGACAGTTCATGGACTAGAAAATCCAGATGTTTGTATATATTCATATAAAAAGGAGTGAAGACTAATGAATTCAAAAGAATTACAATTATTGTAGTGTTAACGTCAACAACTTAGACCATAAAAACAAAATCAGATATCTAGAGGTTGAACTACGGTCTTGAACAAAAGTCCGTTGTCAAATCGTCAAACGTCTAACATGCTTAGTGTAGCTAAATGTTACAAATGTAGTAAAAGCAACGGTATAATTTGATCTACCAAACCATTCTACATATGTAAAGTTCAAGAGCCTTTGACTTGTGAATTTGAAAAAATAATGAAATACGTTTTTTCCCCTAACTAATGAACTTTCAATAAATGAATGTAATTACTACAAACTTTTTCACTAACTTTTATGACAGCGTGTCGTCGCTACAATGAATACATTGACCTATCCATAAATGCATATCCTTACAGAGAGATGGTGTATGTTATGTTGATTTTACTTGACACTATAAAACTAATAAACATGGAAGAAACTTCGAGGGAATGTGTTTGGACATGGTATAGAAAAGAATTTACAGTTTGATTAATTATATCATTATTGTTTACTTCATGACGTTTTCTTTTATCTTCCTATTTCTATTGTTATCAATATCATATATATATATATGTGTATAAAAACAAATATGAAAAACTTAATAAATGCAGTAAACGTATATTCAACAATATTTGATTTTTTTTTTACTTGACGTTTTTTGTTTAATCTTTTTATTTCTATTTATATCAATATTATATATATGTGTATAAAAACAAATATGAATAACGTATTAAATGCAGTAAACGTATACTCAACAATTATGTTGTATTGATGTACCTATTGAACAACTGTTAAGGCTAAAAGTGTGAAAAAGTATTCTTGTTGAGATAGTATAATAGTTTGATAATTAGTTTGTTTTCGGAGTTGTCGCACATTTACCTCTTGTTTTAAAACTTGATAATTTTAAACGATATCAATTTTACTGCACCAAAAAGAATGTATGATGACACCGAGTCTTTTAAAACGTATGCGTTTTTTCTCTCCGTCGCTCTCAATCATTATAATATTAACGTTTTTGCTAAGGATGATTTCTATAATATACAATACGGTTTATTCACAATAACATTTACCCAGTGAGATAGTCTACAAGTTTACAATAAATCCGAGAAGCAATTAATTTGACATCGTGAGATACTTGTAAAAAGTAAGCTTTTTGACAGTTTTGTTTCTAAATTTTTCATCGACAAAATTTTAAAAATAATATTGAAACTAAGGATCCGATCTTTGATACATAGCTCCAATTATTAAGATAAAACTGTGTCTCCTTTTATATATATATTTATATATTTCGGTAGGAAAGCCACGTTAGGATAATATATGTTTTGGGTTTCCCATAGAATTTGCCCGGGTATAACTATATAGACTTTATCAGTCTAAGAGGGTATTTAGAGCATACACATTAGTACCTTTATTTGTTTTATCAGGTATCTATGGTGATTTTGTTTCACACTATAATATCATTATTGCAGTAATTGTCGAAAATCCATGTGATGTTAATTTTTGAATAACCAGGGAAATTACTCGATAATTAAAAAAGATGTATAAACTAGATATATATGATAACGGAATGTTGGCTTTTTTTTTCTCCTACATTATACTTTTAAATACCGTTTGTTGGGGAAAGGGGGGGGGGCATTATCAGATAATCACTAGGTTCGCAGTTTGTATCTTCCTCGTTAATATCCTACGAGGACGTCCTATATATTTTCAAACTAAAAGCTGTCAATTTAATGCATCAAACTCATATAACAAATCAAATACGAAAACAGCTGTAAGATCTAAAAGTTTTGATTATTTTATCTAAAAAATAAAATAATGTTCATGCACTTACTTTTTGCCATCAAAATAGAACTGCATCCAGCCCCATAGGAAGATAAAACAGACAATAGATAATGGTAAACCAATCACCAACCAATTGGCAAAGGTAATGCCGGAGTCCATGCCATAGATCTTAAATTCACTAAAATATCAAATATTATAGAAATTTGTCATAACGTCATTGAATAGCATCGCATGTGGGCTTTATCACCTAATGATTACTAACAGAATTAAAGTTAAGTTATATTCTTGGTACTTTTTCCGACAAATTATTTTTACACCTCTAGCATGTCTAGTAATCCAGTGGAGTTTGCAACTTAGAAGTGCCCAGAGCAATGGTTCTGACCTACAGTATCCTGTACACAAATGATGACGCACTGGATTTTACATGTTACACTTGATATACTGGATATTACCACTAATATGCACACGTCACATGTTTTTTACCATGTTTAATTCATTTCTTCTTCTATCAGAGATGATGACAGAATACACTTATTTTTAGGAAATTATTCACAATGATAAGGAAAAAGTATGAAACAATATCGTAAAAATCAACTCCGAGATCAATAAAACAATTAGTATGAAAACGTGTATCCCTCAGTAACATTGGCATTGATGTCACTAGTGGGGCAAAAACTGCTAACCCATTCTAAACACATGCTTTCTTCCAATCAAAAGATTGATCTGAATTGCTAAACAGTTTGTTTGTATGTGATGTTTTGTAGCCTAATGTCTGCTTGTATCTTTTCTCTTGGTCAGGCAGTTTTCATGCCTTATTCCTCTTGACTCTTTTGATAGTGTTGCAGCTTGCAAGAAAAACATTGATCCAGGAGTTCTTCTTGGTAAAGTTGAAGTAATCTCTTTGAAAGTTGGATGCACGATTTCATGATTTGATGGCTGTTATGGAATATATGTGTCACATAAACACAAATATGTTAAAATTATAGCCACAATCACATCTTCTTTACCTCGATAATTACTTAGCCGAATGCGAAATATCACCAGATTTTTATTACTTGCAATGAACAAAACGACGGGTTCCACTTGTGTAGTCGGGACTGCCTCCAGAGCACATGAGTTCATCTCCAGGTTTTGGTTTGGATCATGATGTTTAATCTTTTTTCCCCTGTGATTTGTAGTTTTTTTTTTCTTTTGTTTTTGTACTTATTGTGTTGTCTTTTTTCGTAGACTTGTCATTTTTCATCGCCCTCTCCCCATCCCTTGATATTGTATCTCCCTTTCTGTTCGAAACATGTAAGTTTAGAATACACAGTATCTTACTCTTCAGCTATTCCTTTAAATACAATATTTGGTGGAGTCCCTGTTAATGTTGCCACACCTCCTATATTGGCGGAAAATGCCACACAAAGGGAAAATGTTTTAGCTAATTGTATAAACTCTTTGTCTTCTGACTTGATTGGTCCATCTTCTCTATAAATTAAATAAATAAATACTCAATCAAAACAGCTGACTATGCGCTATTATTTTTGTTCATTGTTGAAGGTTGTACGGTGACCTAAAGTTGTTAACTTCTATGTCATTTGGTCTCTGGTGGAGAGTTGTTTCATTGAAATTTATACCATATCTTCTTATTTTAATATTTACTATTAAAATCTAGCATAAAGCATCAACTTGAGCTGCGTTTTGCCCATGTGAAACTTGTTTTATTTGTAACATCTTTGTAATGGAAACTAATTAGTTTTTCTGAAATGCATATATTCAAAAGTCAATAAACAACTTCAAACTTTTTTGGGCAAATGGTTTCTGATGTTACTGTTGAGAAATAAGAGTTAGATGAATGGAATGTTGAAAACATCACGTTTGACATATATTCTAGTTTGAATTCGTTCATCTTTGTCAATATCGAGGAAAAGATCAAGATATAAAACAGACCTTATGGTTTCGGGGGTATCCTTAATCCCACTGGGATACATATAAGATGCAAATACTTACTGAGGGTTATTGAGTAACAGCTCGTTATCAATATATCTAAGAGTGAAATTACAGAACTTTGCAAGATGTTTTTTTTCATTTTGCCTTTGAGAATTTATTGTATGAATTCTGCTTAAAATGAATTGGAACTAGAATCGACTGTCTGTTGAAATATCAATCCAGTAAACTTAATAAATCCAACATTTTGATGATATCATTCTCCGTTTTTTTTTTTTTTTTTTTTTTTTTTTTAATTTTTTGGAATCGGTGCAATTATTCACAAAGTAAGATTTTCCCCCATGCCCCTTCTTTATCTTTACCTGAGATTCAATTAAAATATTTATAGATATATCAACATACTCCTCTATTTCTACTACATCCTTCTTCGTCAATGTTTGCATTTCCATCGTATTTGTATCACCGTTTGCACCTTTTTCCTGCAGGGCATTATCTTCAATGTTTTCATTGTTAGTAAATGAAGTTTCCAGCATCCTTTTGTTTTCAGGATTCAATTCTTTATCAAACAAAAGAGACACAATGTAAATAGCATTTGTAGAATTGGTTTATAATGTAAATTAATAATGATGCACTTCATGCATTCATATACTAAAACTAACATCTATCACAAAGATAACTATAAGTAACTGAAAAAGATAGCTAGACAAATATGAGTGCCAATGAGACACCTCTCCATCCAAGTCACAATGTGTAAAAAGTAAACAATTATAGGTCAAAGTACGGACTTTAACACGGAGCTTTGGCTCACACCGAACGGCAAGCTATAAAGGGCCCCAAAATGACTAGTGTAAAACAATTCAAACAGGAAAACCAACGGTCTAATTTATATAAAAAACAGGAAACGAGAAACACTTATGAACCACATAAACAAACGACAACCACTGAATAACAGGCTCCTGACTGCATAGATTTTCCGTATCTTGTTTGTGATGGCCTTTGCAACTACAGATCAAATCAATATGATATCTACCGTTATTTCTAATTACAATAACATATCTATAAGAAAAAAGAAACCAATACAAATTTTGAAATCAATGAAACAAACAAAAAATTGCATTGATATAAAAAGTCATTATGTTTTGTCTGAGACTGTAACCGATGACCCTAATAAAAAAGACTGATAACACCAACAATTGACTTTAACTAATTCTCATCATAGGAATCACAAATGCAGACACTTAATATATGATGCACAACTTCAATTATATAAGCTTCAAAATCAGCAATATCACACAAAATAATGTTTAGTATATCTGATGGAACTAATATGAACTTTTAAGTGATAAGAAATGTAAGTGCTATTGAACTACTTTAGTATTGTTTTCCCGTACACTAATTCGCAGATAGCTTTTCCGTATGCAGTGACCTTAACCACGATACCTCTCGTTAGCACTTCGGCAAGCACATAGAGCAAGTGCGAGGGAGGAACCGTGATGCAAGAAAAGGTATACAAACGTAGAAGTAAGATAGTGTTAATTGATTCTAAAAGAAAAAGTTTAATACACCAAATCATTTAACAACTGTTATGAAAAACTTTGATAAACAAACGGAAACGCATGGAAAATTATAAAAAATATAGAAAAATAGCTCTACTGCATGTCTACCATTTTACTTATTTTTCACGTGCTCTATGATTCTATTTATTTTAGTCACGTTCAGTAATATTCTACAATTACACAAGAAGGTTAATAAGAAGGCAAAGTTTTCATTGAGTGAGATATTTTTTGTCTATTATATATGATCAATTCGCAATCAATGTTAAACAATCGTGCATAGTGGACTTAGCTTAGTATATATACATGCATTGGTTCAAAAATGTCCATAACATTATAATTTCACGAAACTCATTTAATATGACTTTTTAATTGGATAATATTGTAGAATCTAGTCTTAATGAAAATGGATTATCTCATATAAAATAAGAAGATGTAGTATGATTGCCAATGAGACCACTCTCTACAAGAGACCAAATGACACAGAAATTGACAACTATAAGTCACCTTACGGCCTTCAACAATGAGTAAAATTATACAGCATAGTCAGCTATAAAAGGCCCCTAAATAACAAATGTATGTATGGTTGACTCAAAACTGTATAAATGAAATTTGTTTGTAGACCAAAGTTAGAACCTCTCTCCAAGAACAAACATTGTATTCAGATATTCCAACAAACCCGAAGAAATTGAAGTACGCCTTTTTAATGACAGTTTTGGATTGTGAAGTATTATAGATATTTTGGGAGCTCGTTATAAATGTAGTTTCATTCTCCTTCCACTAAGAAGGATTAAATTATAAATTACCAATAGATAGTGGTAGATGGACAATAATTCAAAGGGATATATCTAGAAGAATATATGAATAGTGTGATTTACAAGATATTGGAGTGGAGATCATTTCCGTGTGTAATGTATTGTATTTATAGCTGTGGAAGAGAAAAATGTATGTTGATTGAAAGTATATTGCTAATCCACATACACTTAACAAATGAGAAAGCAACACCATTTGTGTGACGTTTACAGGAAAAAGTAAAATAACAAAAATACCGAACTCCAAGGAAAATTCAAAACGGAAAGTCCCTTATCAAATGGCAAAATTAAAAGCTCAAACACATCAAACGAACGGGAAACAACTGTCATTCTCCTGACTTGGTACAGGCATTTCCTTATGTACAAAATGGTGGATTAAACCTGGTTTTATAGTTAGCTAAACCTCTTACTTATTGTTTACAAAATAACAATATTGTATACAAAATCGAAATATGAAAATGCTTACCCCTATACAGATACTAAAATTGTATAAATATATTAATACATTAAATGTTTTTAATGACCAGCTAACACTTAACAACATTTGCTTTTTGGAAGATGAAATTATATCTTGTAAGTGCAAAGAATAAGTCAAAGCAAATCAAAACAAGCGAGCAAACAATCACATAAGTATGTATGTAAATATATGTTTTGTTTGATTCATGCTAAAATTATTAGTATATGACATTCTCAAATCAGAAAATTGTACGAGAAAGATAATGTTTTCCAGATGACACAACAACTACGAAAATTGACCAGTTGGTTAGAAAAATCTTTCTGGAAAAAATGCTAAATATAAAAATAGGCTGCAAATGCACGTGATAAATTCGTATCAGATTCTGTCCAATCTATCGTCAATTTGTACAGCTGCATACAAATAGTGTTCATGCATTTTACTTCATAGACTTACTGAAGGAGTTCGTTTTCGCATTTGGCCCTGTATGAAATTATACTGAATGTATTATACAAATAGAACAAGATTGAAGCCGCTCATGGGGTGTTCGAATATTCGATAACCACACAGGCTATTCGTAGATTATGTGTTTACTTAACTAACTAATTGACTACATAGAATAAATTTAGACACTTTTAGATAACCGCCGGTTTTTGGTGAGGTTCGTGTTGCTCAGTCTTTCATTTTCTATGTTGTGTTCTGTAAAGTGTTGCTTGTCTTTTGATCGTTTGTCTTCTTTAAGGTCATGGCATTGTCAGTTAGTTTTCGACTTATGAGTTTGAATATTCCTTAGGTAGCCTCTCTTTTAGAAAACGCAGAGTTACAGGAAGTTATGAGAGTGTAGAAACGGTATATATGTGATAATATTATTACGATGATGATAAAGACTTTAAGATTAAGTTAGTATCCATTATGAGGGACCTCCCGCTGTCAATGGATCTGCATTACACTTTTTTATATACCTTTTACGTATTTTCAAAGATGATATTTTGGATAATTTTGTGTTAAGAATTTTGTAATAATTACCTGCAAGGGAATGTAGGGTTCCCTTCGTACGAATATTTTTAAAAATTAATCTGATTACTCGTCAATCAGACAGTAATCGATCGAAGGACACAAACTCCTAAAAGTCATTAAAATGAACATTAGAGAGTTCTTCATCACAATATCCTCTGTTTTAAACAGTTATACTAATACATTTCGGTGTGGGAACCAAGAGCTAAGTTTTTTTGTCCTTATCTTTTATATTATACTGCATCTACATTTTTTTTCATCGGTACAAAGATTTTTTTTAAATGTTTATATTTATGTTTACCAGTTTCTCTTGCTTCTTTGATCTGTTTCAGTATGGCGTTTAATATTGGTACCATCATAGCTGTTGTAGCAGTGTTACTCATCCACATTGACAGAAACCAGCATGGAAACATTATACCTAACATCAACCTATGACAAAACAGTGAAAGATATCTTCCATTTTTAATGTCAATCTAAAGCAAATTCATACAGAACCTTTTAATGAAGGCGTATTACAAAACAAAAAGGGTTGGTTTAACATTCTTATGCTTTCAGTAAACAAGATCGTGCATACTGATATATCTCACCTGTTTTACTGATCATGGTTGAATTTTCTGTTGAAAGTCTTTAATATCTAGGGTTTCCTATATAATATAAACTTATATGGACCTAACCATGTAAACTGATACTGACCAATGAATCATGGAAATGAGGTCATGGTCAGATGAACCCTGCCAGATGGTCATGTAAATGCATTATCATAACATACACAAAACATACAGAAAATGTAGTTGACCTATTGTTCAGATTTTGGTTTCAGAGATAAGAATTAATCAAAATGCGTTCACCTTGCTCACTGATCAATGAAATGAGGCCAAGGTCAGATAAAACCTCTCTGTGGGACATGATGATTTTGTAAATGTGCCATATATACCAAAGATAATAATGATAAACGAGAAATTCAGATCACAAAAAACGTAGTTTTGTTACTCGATGCTGAACCAAGAAATAGATGTCAAGAAAAATAGACATGTACCAGACAAAAACTCCATACCATAAGATATCTCTACACAACCAGGTTCAATCCACCATTTTCTACATAAGAAAATGCCTGTACCAAGTCAGGAATATGATAGTTGTTATCCATTCGTTTGATGTGTCTGAGCTTTTGATTTTGCCATTTGATTAGGGACTTTCCTTTTTGAATTTTCCCCGGAGTTCAGTAATTTTGTGATTTTACTTTTTATATCTCTACACAAGGTATGAAGCATCCAGGTCTTCTAGCTTCTTAAATATAAAGCTTTATATATAGAGTTTACGCCGCCGCCGGATTAATAGCCTTATATCTCGCATTCTGGAACTTTCGTCGCAGGCTTGACAAATCAAATGCGACTTCTAATATGAGACATGAGCTACCTGATTAGCTCACGAAAGTTGTTTTAACATGTAGATTTTGCATGTTTGTTTTACTTGTAATCTTAATTTACGGTAATTTGTGAAAATTCGCATGCTCTTTTTTGGTGTAATGAGATACAAATATGCGGGAAACATTATATTCCTTTATGCAGTTTTATGAACAATTCCGAAAAGCAATAACCGGAAAGAAATTGCTTGCAGTCATCTTGTTGAAGGTTTTTACAGTACCATAGTTTACATACACAAATCGATCTTTCTATCAATTATGCGTATTATTAATCTGCTTGTATTCCTTATCACGTTCATAAATCATTTGTAAATTAACATAACATATACATTGTATATATATATATTTTTAAATATTTTCAAGTAGTTACAGCAATTAATTTAATATTATTGGAAATTATGAATATTCACATAATCGTGTTTTTTATCGAAAGGCTAATAATAAAATGTGCTGAACATATACATATTGTATAAAACATTTTGAAACGTTCCCTTGTACACATCGTTAGTAATTTTATTTTATTTTTGAAACGGAAGTATAACATATATGATAATGTATTTCTTTTCCCCACGTTCAATGAATTAAAGTACATGTATAATAACACTTCTTGATTTCTAATATTTGTTGTGGTTTTAAAAATAAATAAATTTATTTCTTGTAACAACAATGGTCCCATGTTATACACAATAAGATAAATTCTATTTACTTTTGTACACACTAGAAGTAATCATTAGGATTTCTTGACCGATTTTGGCTTTACTCTTTTATCCCTTTTAGTAATAATCTCTTCATTTATTTAATAAGCTTTGGAGTTTCAAATATTTTGGCCTTGAACATTATTGAAACGACATTTTTTTGTCGAAATGCGCATCTGGTGCAAAATAGTTGGTAACGTTAATGTTATTATAGGATACGTTTCATGAACCGTTTTGAGACTGATGTATAGTCTCACCTCGATACTTACCATCTAGGCTGAGGGCCTACAAGTGTCAATGCTCTAAGTGCTATACGCCGATGTAAATCCCATTTCTCTACAGCCACAGCTACTACTAAACTCCCCAAAAATAACATCAAAGTATCCTGTATATATAAATAAATCAATTAAAGAATCTGAAAATCTACAGACTATTAAACATTGCAAACAAATAGCACGCGGTTACATAAATATTTATTATATTTTGAAGTTTCATTGCTATTTTTATAAACGGTATCTGGTATCGATTGATCTGGCATCTGGAACTATTAGACTTTAATGCAAAAAAATAAACGGTTCTTACATAATATTCAATATATTATTGTCTGGTTTTGATTTATCATGTTAGTTTTTTTTGTGACTCTTCTGAAGCTTAAAATGATTTCAGTAAAGTCATTTAACACTGCTGCTAAAATAAGTGTATAGTCTTATATTACCTATTGATAATAAATTGATTTTTTTTGTTTGTTACTAGGCATATATTTTGAAAAACATAAACACTAAAAAAACAGAACAATTATACTTCATGAATCATGGATATTTTTGTACTATACCATTTTATTTTACTTTCATAATATTGATTGTGCTATATGTAACATTTACCTTGAAATAACTTTGACAAATTTTCTGAACCGGCATAACACCAAGCATAGGAAACAAGACAACCGGCAGTAATGATGTGACGGCCAATGGCATTACTTCTAACACCCAGTATGTTCCAATCACAATTACCCCGTATGCACATCTTGCTGGCTGAAATAAAAACAAAACTTTAATATGTCTATGAAATGTATTTCAAGATTGAAAAAAAATAACCGAACCATTAACTGAAAAAAGCGATATCAGCAATGGACCATTGAGACAAGATACCAGCGAAGAAATCGATTTATACATCGAGCTTTAGAACCACCAAAGTCCTTTTACTGAAGGCTGAAAAACAAAAACGAGAGAGAGAGAGAGAGAGAGAGAGAGAGAGAGAGAGAGTCAGTTAAAACGAATAACCATATAGTAGGCAATAAATAACGTTTACAAATTGTGTATAACTAATGAAACAATAAAGCTTCAGTAAAAAATCAATTAATAAAGATATTCTAATTAACATTACTTTTTTACTGTTCTATTCTAAGATGACTTTGTTGAGTTAATATGCTTCGCTATTTCTATCACTGTTATTTTTTACAATATTATATTCTTTGAAAAGATGAGGTATGGTAAGACCCTTTATCATGTTTATGTTGACCCTTAAATTTAAAATTTTGGAATTCTTCAACACTTTTAAAAGATATGTTAATTCTATAGGTATAAGAATTATAGCATAATATAGTTTTGTCACTTTAAACCTCTATAGGGGTGTAAAAGTATTGACCGAAGCACATTTTGCATGAAGCCCGGAAGCGCTTCATAATGAAAATGTGCATTTGTTCGACGCTTATACAACCCCATAAAATGGAAAACATGTATTCAACTCTTATGTTACCTTTTTCATACTACAATCATGAAATAACGTGATAAATGAAGCCTTTCGTTTGTTTTTCTATGCATTGTTTTCACGTTATCATGGAGAACGTGTAGTCATATTTATTACACTTGATACGGATATAAAAAAGTAAAATTTGCAATGCCTCGGCCGATCAAAATCACGGAATCACATGAAGTTTCTATGTAAATTTATTATATCACATAATTGAATTCCTGATTCTTGCTGGTAATCGAAAGACCAATGCGGTCTTAATGCATTCATGTTATGCAAATATAATTCATTTGTTTGCATTCTGTCTTTGTGTACTGATCATGAGTAATACATATATACCAAATTATATAATTGATCTCTCACCGTGTTTTTATTTGGACCAGAATAAATGATTTACATCCTTTTTAATATCAAATCATTTCCTCCCTGTTTAATTTACAATAAAAAATGATATAAAGTTTGGCTACATAATTGTACAGTCACTTATTATACATTATGCGATAAATTATTAACTTATCCCTTTTTTCAGCTGTAAGAGGATACATTAAATGTAATTAATTAGCATGCGTAAAATTATGGATACAAACTGTAAGATTTTGTGTTTATTTTCTTTTTGAATTTGATTTATTATGTATATTAAAAGTACATAAATATTTATTCTGCAAAAAATACAATGCTTGAATGTAATTACATCTTTAATTCATATCTTATACAAGCAAGAATACTGCACCACGATTGTATCAGGTTTGAAAGGTATCTTACTCTTAAAATTTCTTTCAACCAAATTATCATGTTATACTATAAAGTTGCCATCAAAAAACATTGTAATAATCCTCAATTTCACCTTATTCAGAAATGGCCATTCGTTTCACTTGTTTATCTTGACATGGGATGATGTAATATGTCGAAGTAAAGTACACATGTACAAGTAAATCTTTAATCAACTCTGAACAAAAATACATAAGTTATAAGCAACAAATTAGAGCAAATCATCTTAAAACGACCACTGATACATTCAGATAAAAGTAAAAAAAAGTGAAAATGTTTCACAGCTATTGGAAAATATTTTAAATCTATCGCCCTCATGCATAGCTCTGACTCCTTGTTTGTATAGGTTTGTCTTTACTTTTGGTTCTCTTTTGTTTTATCAGCTCTTCAAAGTTTATATTTGGTTTTTGATCTTTAAATAATTTGGCCTCGAGTATCACCGAAGAGACCCTAATTGTAGAGATGTGCATCCAGTACAGAACAATTGGTACCGTTAATGGTATTACTACCACAGGGTCGAAACCTCTAATGGTTGACTGATAGTTCCTTATGGTATCACCAGCCCACTAGTGTTGCCATTACTTGGGTTCTGGCATGAAAATACCGATTGTTTTACTGAAATTTTCTGTTATAAAGTATTTGAACTATTTTAAATTGAGGGATGTATCTCCCTTGTGCATAGCTCTTATTCATTATACAGGTTTGAGTATTCGTTTGGTCCTTTTGGTTGAATCAGGTTTTCAAAGTTTGTATTAGGTTTTAGATTTTCAAGTATTGTGGTCTAGAGCATCAATCACTGAAGAGCTTCAATTGTCAAAATTCGCATCTGGTGCAGTAAAATTGACACCGTTTTTTTAATTTCACCAATTATTAATGCACTTTTAAAGAAATGAAGGGAAAAATTCGCCTGCTGTCCTAAATAAATTATGTCTATTACGTCAGAAAAATATGAAATGAGATAATTTAATGTAACGGTCTCACGAGAAAATATATCTCCTCTATCATTTTCTGAACCATGTTTAAATTGTCATTATTTGATTATCTATTTTATACAGCATGCAAGCCATTTCATCATATAGAACTTTGTTTATAGTCTATTCAATCCAAACAAGCTTAAAGTGTTGCAGAAAATTTTAACAGGTCTCATTTATACTAAATGCAAAATGTCAAGTTGGAATCATTGGAATAAAAGCATATCGGTGATAATATAGCGCTCCGTAAACAGATACATTCTATGTCAGTTAGATTGAAAATGAAAGTTGGTTGTGGAATACAAAACAATGTAACGTTATGTCAAGTGGTCAAATACAGTTTATTATTTTATTGAGAAAGACAATCCTTTTAATTAGGGTTTCATGTTTTATTAAAACAAATGAATTTTTAATCAATAAAAGAAGAACTGTCATTAAAGGAAATCTTTTAGGGTAAATTATTATGTAAGGTCTCCGTTTTATAATGATTGCGTCTGTTTCAATTGCTTCTAAAGTTATCAAACACCAAACATGATGAAGACCGTTGACGTAGTTAAAGAAATAAGTTCAACGTATCAATTCGATATCACAACATTGAGATCTAGGTAAGGCAAACGATTAGCTGACATATTTTTATAATTTAAGGCTGTAGGAGAACAAATTGGATATAAATTATAAAGCAAGTAAACCTATTAACTAAGTAACATGAACCTCATTTAAATAAAGGCAACGGTAGTATACGGTTATTTGATAACAAATGCCGTATTCCTGACTTTAAAACCGGGATGAAGTCAGTTTTTTCTTAAGACTAAGTAGTTCCTGAGACATCAATGGCACCCATCATGGTCCATGTAACTTGTATTAGGTACATATACAATGATAAGTGACATTCTATGACACCTAGGAACGAGGAAAAATACAGTATTTTTATGAGAAAAAAATCAGTCTGTATTCTTTTTTTTTTTTTTTTTTTTTTTTTTATCTATATAAAATATTATTTGTAATGTCTCATCCTTATATAGATAAGTTATATAGAGTTGTTTGCTATGTCCAGTACACTTTTAGACACTAGTTTAAAAGTAGACAACACAATGCTCCGTCATTTGCATATTAGATTCTATATGTCAAATTTAGGATTATGAACCAAAAACATAACTTGTCTTGCTTATCTAGTTATGTAGTTCAAAATCTCTCTAATGGAATAAGAATCCAAAATGACAATATCTTACTCTATCGAAATCTGATTTAAATAACAGAACTTTTCAGATGTGTTCAAATTCTGGCATTTGTAAACAGATTTATGTGTCTTTAAAAGGTTAATGAATCACTTTCAAGTCATTTAATGGAAAGAAAATTGTTGTATGCCCAATATAAATGTCAAAACAGATAAACTAATGGATGCAGTGCAGAACTAAAGTCTCTAAATAGCCTGCGTCGCTCACCTAGGTGTATGTGCATATTCAACAATGGACACTCTCCAACATTGTGGACTAGAATAGAATTCATGAAAAAGATCTCTTTTTTTTTATCTTGTATTGCTGATATTTTTTCTGTTTACAGTTTCTCTCTATCTTTTTTATTGTCCAAAACACTAAAAGGGTACAAAATTGTTACTTAAGGTAAATCACTCATATAAAGAGTCTACTATTGATTTTGGGTTAATTTAACTATTTTGTAGATCTTGTCTTGTTGGTCTTTTTCGCTTTTTAAAGTGTGTATATCTTTTATAGTTTTCAAGATAAGAGGCAAAAACGTAAAATGTTGGTAAATATTTTCATTAATGAACAAGAACTCCAATAAGGAGTCGCCTGACAATTTCGGCTAGGATGACTTATTTGTAGATCTATTCTTGCTGATCATTTGTGCTATTTAAAGTGGCTATCTGTCTATAATAGTTTACAAGATTATAAGAGGCAGAACAGAAAAAATGGGTAAATATCGTTATTAATGAGCAAAAACACCAATAAGGAGTAAACTGGCGATTTCGACCAGTAGACTTAATGGTAGATCTTGTCTTGCTGGTAATTTTTGCTTATTCCAGCTGTTTCTATCTATCTATAATAGTTTTCTAGATATAAGGCAAAAAACGCCAAAAATTGGCATTAAAGGTTAATAACTCCAATAAAGGGTTGTAAGATGATTTCAACCTTGTAACACATTTGTATATCTTGTCTTGCTGATTATTTTTGCTTATTTTAAGTTTCTATCTATCTATTATAATTTTAAGATAATAGGCTAAAACGCTAAACAAAATGGTAAAAATCGTTAACAAAGGGCAAAGCCTACAATAAGAGGTTGACTGACGATTTTAAGGATGAGCCTTATTGGTATAAATAAAGCAAAAATGAAAAAGGTAAAATTCGTCATTTAAGGGCAATAACTCATATAAGAAGTCGTCTGACGGTTTTGATGTAAATGACCAATAGGCAGATCTCATCATTTTAAACATTACTTCCTCACTTAGATTTTCTCTATCTAAAACGGTTTTTAAGATAACAGACAAAACTTGGACCTTTGAACCAGATGAGCCAAAAATCAAACAC